CTCCCCCAGAGCTGTGCACATACAGCCTGCATAACCGCCCGGCCATTGGTCTGACTCCACCCACATAGGACAGGAGCCAAATGACTGATCGGAAACTGTGTATTACTGAGCACCCAGTGGTCAGGAACCTCTCATTCAAAAAGTTTTTGGACACCTATTGAGGACTCTTGAAACTTTCTACTTTTCCATTCCTGCAAACTCATTTAGTGGGTGTTGCTATCATACAGTAACAGTATCTTCTCTTTATGTGTTGACAAGCATGCCACTTTTCTGCTCATCTGAAAACCGGCTGCACAGCGTGGTCGCGAAGCAGCTGGTTATTGTAAGATGAAGCCTTACCGCAGCTCATCTTGGTGTATAATCCATCACACAGATTAGTGCCACTATCCTCTTTCCTGGGAGGGGTCTACAGGGCCGTCTTGGTCTCTGTGCTAGAGAGACAAAAAGAAACCTCCTGGAGTCTAATGAGAAGATAATCTCATCTTGGACAATGTCTTTCCCTCTCCACCTGGTGCAGACCCAGTCTAGCAGTGACAGCCTGGAGAACTTGATCAGTAGTACTGCTGCTAAGCCACTGTTGGTGGGAGACACTCTATACCTTTGCCAACATCACTGATTTTTCCCCTAAACGGTACTGAATACAGAGGAATGTGGGCTCATTAGGCTAGGGCTGGGCACAGTCCATGGTAATCAGCAGTTAATTTCCTTGCCCATGTTTGACCCAATGCTTGCTTGGCTGGTCCATAGGCAGCTCTCCCAATTTTGGGACGAGCTCCCAGATAAGCAAGACTGCAGGGTTATTAGGGCTAAATTTATACTTTAGTCTCAGATTTCCAGTATCCAGAGTTTTATTCTGTTGCTGAGTTTATTATTGTCTAAGTTGTTCTAAATGAGAGATATGACAACTCCAACCAGAATGTTCTGAATGAATGGGCCCAGCTGTCTCATAATACAGTCAAAAAATCAATACCAAACAAGCCCAACTTTATTAAGAACGAGAGAGAGAGAAGGAACTGCAGATGCTGGAGAATCTGCGATAACAAGTTGTAGAGCTGGATGAATACGGCAGGCCACGCAGCATCAGAGGAGCAGGAAGGCTGATGTTTCGGGCCTAGACCCTTCTTCAGAAATATTACTGAAGGGTCTAGGCCCGAAACATCAGCCTTCCTGCTCCTCTGATGCTGCTTGGCCTGCCGTGTTCATCCAGCTCTACAACTTGTTATCTCTTTAAAGAACAAAGTTACAATAACCTTTAAACACTAAACATACTATTCCTAATCTTATTTGGCTCCTTAAAGGTTAGGCTACTTCCAAACTCTATTGTAGATTTGTGTAGTTATCATCTCTGGCTCCACAAAGCTGCTTTCTTCCTCTCTCTGGCTGGTCACTTGGTCTCCTTGAAAGGCCTCATAGGTTCACCTGCAGACCTTGCTGCTGGAACTTATTTTTACACCTTTAATGTGGTTTTCTTCAATCTTTGATAGTTCTGACTAATCAGGGAGCTACACAATTTGGAAACAAAAACACAGTCACTCATTTTAAATGGCATGCTGCTGTTAATTTGTGTAGCCTTGCTGTCTAGGTCCTCCTTTGTTTTGTAGGCAAGTTGTAGTAGATAAGTAGCTTTAGTAGTTTATAGATACTCTTCAGCCTGTTTGCATTTTGGCCAAGATTTTTAAAAAAAAAACAAAAGCAACAAAACACCAGACAGACAATGTACCCAGCATCCCTTGCTGATAGTAGCCACCTGGTTACAAAAACTGAACAGCTTACACAGTAGTGCACACACAAAGAACTATGCCTTAGTTTGAGTTTCAGGTCAAGATCCTGCAAGTGTTACAAAAATCACAACAATGTAGGACAAAGGACTGTCTCACCCTGAGCACTGATGTTCACAGCAAGGGAGGTGGTGTCAGAACTACAGCATCTCAATCAAATCAGCAAAAGAGAAAAAAAAATTGTAATTGATAAGCTTACTTCACACAAAAGCCTGGTTAACTTGGCACCTTGAAATTGTTCTTGGTAAGAAGTGTACCCATGAGGAAAGGGTCTCTTCAAGTTAACATTGTCATGGTCAACTGAGGGGTAACTAGATAGGGGAAGCCTGTTTATCCCTCGTCACCTGGGAGTAGAATGGTTTGGGAACAGCCTGTCTGAACGTAATTATGTGGGGAGTCAGTCATAACAGGCAGAATTCTATTAGTCACAACATAGAGAATGGCTACTCTACTTACCATGTTTAGTTCCACAAAAAGGATGAAGGTGCAATAAGCAGACTTAAACCTACAAAGAGCAAGGCTTTTTTTTCTCCCAAAAAAACTGCAAGTGAATCACACTAATCCATTGAAATCATACATTTGTTTGCAGTGTCTCTTATAGCAGTCAGGATTATTTGCTAGATGTTGTCCACCAAGCAAAATCTCAATGGCAGCTATGATGTTCCGAGATATACAGGCAAAGGCTGGTTGAAAAGCAACAGCATAATGCCTACTACAGTCAAGGGGTAAACTGTTTGCTATCATTAGCAGCAGGTGATGTCAGATCTCTAGGTCACGTTGTCACAAACTCACTTAGCAAGAACTGTAGATGCTGGAGTTGGAGGTGATACAGTGTGGAGCTGGAGGAATGTGTCAGGGCACTTGGTCACACACCCTGACCCAAGTCATTGACTTTCCTGCTCCTCTGATGCTGCCTGACCTGCTGTGTCCTTCAACACTAGGGGACAGCAGCTGCAAGCTTATACTACTGCCATTTCCTTGGGTGAAGGACAAGGCTCATCTTACTAGAACAGCAGCTAGATTATAACCTTCCGCCCACTCTGGTGGGCTTGCATCTCATCAAGTACCAGACAGGGGGATGGTTGGTGTGTTAGTACAACCAGGGCAGATCAAAATGGGGACACCTAACTTCATGATCGAGAATAGAACCAAAACATCTAGAGGTTCTTGATGACCTGGCTAGAACCAGCCCCCTCCCCCAAATAGAACTAACACTGAGAAGGATAAAGGACCTGCTATCTTCCATGATGGAAGCTCACGTGATTGACAGTCAGCCACATTGTAGGGTAGTATTCAATTCAGCAGGTAGTGCACCCTCAAAGGCCTGCCTTTTTTCAAGGGTGCTCCAAATAGAGGGAGCTGCTGGGATAATAGGAAGGGATTCCATGAAGGACAGTGAGGATTTAAATCCTCCAGCAGAGAGGGTGTTTACAGTCACTGCAATTAGAAGAGGTACATTCCTTGTCTGGAAAAGGCAGTGCCTAACTCTTGCATTTTAAAACTTAAAGGCCTAAATATCCAAGCAGGATGAACTGATCACAAAATGAAGTCTGAAATGGGAATGGAGAGATTGGGACTCAAGACAGGTAGACATGATTAAGGTCAAAACCAGATAAAGGTGGAAGCTTACAATTAGTTGATTTGGCCCCAGTAGTAAGTGGCTCAAGTTCAGAAAAAGCATGAAGGGTATGTAGTTAAGTGACAAAAGCCAAGTTATAGTGGGAGTGGTGGACAGGGCCACCTGACAGTAACCTTGTGGTCCATGTAACCCCACAAGGGAATACTGAGCATTTGTCAAACATGACTCACATGTGACTATTTACTCCTAGACTGTAGAGTAGAAGGGAAAGGTAGGGAGTCCTTAGACTAGCTTTGGACTAACTTCCTATATTAACAGGTGTTCTGAAAACTGGAGAGCTGGCTATACCGAACCTGGCATGGAGCTACAGGGCAAGGTCAATCATCTCAGTTAAGGCTGAGGTGGCAGTCATTGTGATGGCATTACAGATGGAGGGGGAGTGGTCAAAGACTATTATGCTCAAGGGCAATGGAGGGTATAGAAACAGTTGGCAAATAAGTGCAGGTCAATTAATATTTAGTATCCATTCTGGAAAATGGACTAGATATTGGATCCATTCCTTGGAAAGGGGAATGCTGCCAAAAAAACAAAAAACGCAACATAGTTGTGCTGTCTACCTCGGTAAATCAGGATTGGACAAAGATTAAGGACACCAGAAGAGTGATCACCGAGCCACAAATGTAATGATTTTCTTAAAAAATCCCAACTTATGAATGCTCTAACATTGGATGTTAACAGCTATTTTGGATCCTGTGATAGCTACAATGTAGCATCCCAGAATATATTATGAATCAGGAAGTGGTAAGGAGGGACTTGGAAACAAGTAGTTGGAGCTGCAGGCTGAGAAGTGTCCAGGCCCTGACAGCCTTCATCCACTGAGAGATACTGGATGCATTTGGTTTTAATTCAGCTTCTGAAATATTCTTGATTTGGGAGACAAGTGCAACTAATGCAGAAGGAACAAATCTAAGGAAGCTGGAAGCTACAGGCTGGAGGTGTGACAAGGGCACATCTGGGTACTGTATGCAGTGAGCAAGTACATGAGGACAGTTTAGAGGTTTGACATCATACCCTGAGATGAAGGAGTGTTATTGGAGGAGAAAAGGCAGGACTTGTAGCTAAAGAGCAAGAGGACTGAATTAATGGAGTCAGGGTGGGTCTTGTCCAGTTCAATGGAAGGGGATGTTCCCTTAGATGCAAGGGGATTTCAAGTTAGGAGTTGCCATTTTAAAAGAGGGATAATTTAGGTTTGAGCATCTTTGAAACATTCCCTTAGAGGAAGCAGAGGCCTTCAATATTTGAAGTAGATGTGGATAGATTCTAAGGAAGAATTGGGTGAAAAGGTTCAGGGTAGACAGTGATATTTCAAGGGTCAATGATATCAACCTCTATATCAAGTGGCTGAGCTGGTCTGAACTTGGATGCACTACTCCTTGTTCAAGTGAGCTGCATGCAAGTTTGCTTTGGAAAATTTCCCGACAGTTAAATAACTGATCCAAACTTACTGAAGCAGTATAAGCTGTAGCAGATTCTGGATTAGATTGAGGCTCTATCCAACAGCATAGATTCAGTTGCCACCCATCCCTCATTAGCAGCAGGATGGCTAATGTTGGCTCAGATTGTTCAAAAAGCACTCTTGGCACGTTTGTCCATCTGGTTTATTTCTGTTCAGGGTTTACAATTCATCATGACAGGGAGACACAGCAGCAGCTCTTGGTCTCTTCACGTACACTGCAACCATCACTAACAGCAGAGAGACAGACACCACCATGAGGCCAATGGCTACTCCATGCAGAACCCAAGGTCTGCCAGAAACATCTGTGAGAGAGGGAGATCAGAAGAAGGTTTCTTTTTGCTGGAGGTCACAGGTGACCTATTGCAGGGGCTTCACTTACCATTTGCTCCAAGTTGTTTCTTGGCAATGTAACCATTCCTTCCCAGGAGGATTGGGCCAGGTGCACTCACTACTGTCCCCTCATGGTCATGGGTACTCCTGCGCTGCCCTGTTGCAGCAAGGCAAAGATTAGACAGTTCTGACCCAATACTGGGAGTTAGTAAGTTAGTACTACAGTTTGCTCCAAGTTCACAAGTGTTTCTATGTACACACAGACTTGTGATCTGCCATTGGTGGCAGCTAGCAAATACTTAGCAACCCCAACAAACTGATTTTAGTTTAAATAGTGAAATGTTAATATTTGGTTAATCACTGATTTTTGGTCAGGCTGCACTGGACTCCAAATAAAGAAATTAAAGCCATTGACATTGGAGAACCTGAGGCAACTGTTGTAGCGCTTGAAATGACAAGTACTTAAGGGAAGTGTACATAACCATTGTACATTCAATATTCATGCTTGAGTCAAGTGCCTGGTTCATATTGAGCTTCATTCCCTTGTTGTTCTAACCTTTAGCTTTTAGAGCCCAGTACACTAATTCAAAAAAATGCTGGGACCTTGTTACAGTTAGGCAAGTTCTTGGTCCAGGCTCATAATCACCAGAGCTTCAGCTCAGTGGCATGCATTCCTATCTGTGACCATAGAGTCCAGGCCTTTAGTTATGGGCATTAAGGGAGGGGGTGGGACAAGTCAATGTTTTAGAGATGGATTTGTAGTTCACATTTACATAAAGACACCTTTCACTGGGCATACAGAAGGGATTAAGCCACAGGCAGGCCAGCAGGAATTCTGTGTGTTGGTCCAAAGGAAATCTGGAGCAGATGGCTTCCTAATTCAGGAGTCTGAACAGGAGGACATTCAGCTCCTACCATTTGGAAACATGGCTGATCAGATTGGGATCTGAACCTCACTCACTTGAGGGATGTGGGCCCATCCCTAGTTGGGTAAAGGTAGGTGCTACGTTCAGGAACTGTTACTGAATGTCTGTACCACCCAACCCATCATGCCTAGAATCTGCCTCTGAATTGAAGTCCTGAGGAAGATCTGGACCTTCAGAAGAGATTGTTAAACTGAGCCTAGCTCTAGGCAGAGACTGTCCTTCAGCAGCTACCTTCAGAACCATTCAGCCCTGGACCCACTATGATCACTTCATTCTAAACTCAGGAGAGGTTCAACTTTTTAAAGATACATCATTGCAGGATGGGCAGCTTCCTGACTGTTTCGTGCAATTGTAGAAAGATAGTGACCTCGACTATGTAGCATAGGTGTGGTGAAGACCTGTTGAGACCTCCTGCCATACATTTAGTGCAGTGGTTGCTGCACCTGCAAACCAATGATCCATATAATGGAAGGCATGGAAAGCCCTTCACTACTGCTGTTATTCTGCCCAGACGATGCTGTTCTAGTCTTCCTGCTAAAGTGGAAGAGCTCATTCTGCAGTTCTGTTCTTCTGCATTCGTGCAGATTTGACATTACATCCCATTGTTCAAGGGAGTGGGCACCTCTGGCTGGGCCAGAATTTGTAGCTCCTCCTACTGGTATGGAAGGCAGTTAGAGTCAGCCACACATTGTATACTGTGTCTGGAAATAAAATTTAGCTCTGGCCAGGCAGGGGCAGAAGACATCCTACCTGAAAGGGAAGAGTTTTGAAGTCTACAGCAGCTACATGCCACCACTAGCTTTTCAATCTGGAATTCAGATTTCATTGCTTGCTGTGGCAAGATTTGAACCAGATCCCTTGACCATTAGCCTGGAGTTCTGGATTGCTCATCTGGCAACACTACCATTCTCTTCACTCCTTATACCCATCTCTGCAATCTAATTTATTGCTTGCATGAAGTACCCAGAAAGACATTTAGTGAATTGAATTCCAACATCCACTTGCCAGCTTAGATGACCCATTCATGCCTTCTGTCTTCCATTACAGGAGGAAAGGCATTCCTCATGTTAGGAAAGAGGATTTTAGTGCAGGGTGCAAGCTCACGTGGCACCTTCAGGAAAAGGCCATCTGCAAGTTTCTCCTTTATTCACATGGCTCACTATTTTCTCAATAGAGGCCATTTAAAACACCACTGGCCTTCCACAGAATAAGGAACTCACTCGAACCACATCTGGGTGCACAGTCATCCAGACCAGAGGGAGAGCAAACTTCAGCACTGCAATGCAAGAACACCTAGAAAAGAAGAGGACAGATGATTTAAGGGAGCTTCCTGTAGAATAATACCCCAGGATTGATTGCAGAGCACCAGCAAGATTTCGTGAACTTGGTCTGATTCTGAGAATTTGGTTACCTGTCCAGAGAGCGGCTGCTCAGACACACCATCCAAGAAAACAAAGGTCTTCACTTCAAACCGCTTGTGATGGGTTGGGAACTGCAGGCCAGAAGAGGCATCTACTGGGTGTAGGACAGTCAGGTAGTCATCACCCTCATAGGGGCACCTGAAACAGGAAGGCTCAGTCAGTGGTAGTAGGAGAAATATTGATCTACTGCAATGACATCTTGGCCATTTATGGCTGCAGCAAACAAGGCCAGAGGGGAGCTTCTGGAGGGAATATTATCCCTTGTGCTCCCTGCTCTAAACCAGTCAGTCAGTTCTCCTGGTGAAAAATGGGAGACTGAAGAAGAGGGATCCAACGATAATAGCTTCATTGGGATTGGATTTAAGTTACAAACTACTCAGAATGTGGTGTTAAAACTCCTGTCTCGATACATTCTTGGGGTGAAATGTGAACTGGTGCTGCAAACGATGCCAAGTTAGTTAGGTAAATTCAACCGGTCATTCCAGAGTAAAGCTTAGCCAGCTATAAAGGGATGCACAGGGCCTGGCCTGGCCAAACCTGGAAGTGACTGCATAGGATCTCAAGTTACAGTTGCTGACAAAGACAGAGACGGAGACAGTTTCTCCAGCATCTGCAGTACTCTGCTTTTATTGTAGGAGTAGACAGCATGTTGAGCAGTGGCACGTGTATTCCAGGAAATACATATGGCCCATTGCTAGTTTGCAGAGTCTGTCCCACTGCATCAAAGTTAGCAGTTGCAGAAATTAGTGTATTAGCAATAATCATATCAGGAGGGCTGATATTTGAAGAGATTTGACAAGAGCTGGATCATTGTTTCAGACTCTCCCAGACCATAGAAATATTGATCCAGTAATCCTGGCCTTGACAGGAGCTGTTTGACCATCATCATGGTGTTTGATATCAGCTAAAGCCATTAGCCTTTCCATTCAGAGTCCTTACCCATCCACCAGGAGAGTCCACTGCACCTTATGGTCAGGGGCTGGCACAGGAGTTGCCCAGCAGTCACGCAATCTCAGGACAATCATTGGGTCAGTGCGATCCTTCGCACGAACCTCAACAAACACTGACTCCCAAAGGATTCTCTCAATGGGGTAGTCACTGTCCTTGTACCACAGCCTGTAATTGCCATCTAACAGAAACAAAACCAGTCACTCCCTGAAGGAATACATTCTTGGTGCTCTATTACTAGGGCAGCACTACCTTTTGCTATTCGCAGTTCCAGCCTCAAAATCCCATCTTCAGAAGCAGCTGGTGGTGGAGGGAGTGTGTAAACTGAGACATTGATTTGCAAGCCAGCCTCATGCTCCCCCTTGTACTTGCACTGGACGTGCAGGCTGTTGAGACACAAATAGGAGGAGTTTCAGTCTGTAACACTTCCCTCTACATACCAACAAACCCCACTGCCCTCTCACCTGAAGGTGCTGTCCCTGGTTATTGAGCCCTGTGGCCCCGTCTGAATCATCCTCTTCCCCAAGATGTCGGTTTCATACACAAAGCTTCCAGTCTCCTCCTGCAATGGAGGACACTGTTTAATAGGGAGCTGGCCCATTCAAAGGGACAGAATGCTGGACCCTCCAATACTCACCCGCTGGGTCGAGCCACAAGAGGTAATTGGGAAGCGGAAGGCTACAAGTTCCGCTGTGATGAGCTTAGGCCTGCACTCAGCTTCTTGTCCATCTTTCACATACAGAGATGACAGGTTGAGGGCAGGACGGGTCAGGTTCCTGGTGATTGCTAGAATGAACTGGCCATCTGCTGTACACACTGCAAAGAAAGAGACTTAGTTTCCCCACTGGTGGTTGTGGCCTTAGAAACCCAACAGAGGGATCAAGACTCAGACCCAGAATCATTCATAGCTATAACAGTTATGCTACTTGAAATAATAAAAGTAAGGCAGATTTCCTGCCTTTTAAAAAATTGAAAGCATCCTTGGAGGCACTGTAGAAGCCTTGTGACCACCCAATAAAGTGGATAGGTTCGTGGGTGTACTCCAGAACAGAAAGAAGCATTTATTATTCAGTTACCCTCGGAATATCAATGAATTATTTGAAAGGAAGGAATGAGAAGTTAAGAACAATGGAATGGCACAAAATTTCCAAAATAGAGTGTTAAAACAAAACATTTAAGAATATAGATTGTTATAGAAAGGTATCAGGGGCAGGACGTGTTTGAATGTCAGCTCCATGGGCACAAGGTCCACATGCAGTAGCAGAGTCTGGAACTAACAGTGAACAACATCAGCCTGCCCACCGCAGCTCCTAACCCTGGGGCAGATGCACGTGCAGCTTAAGGGGTGGTGGTGTAAGGAATGTTCATCAAGGGGTAAGGAAAGAAAGCAGGAATGGTGTTGAGTATCACCACAATGCTTAGTGGTGGAGCAGGCTCACAGGGCTGAATGGCCAAAAATAAAAACAAACCACAAACAAACTGGGATTTGGGAAACACACTGTTGTGCATCAAGAGAAATCTCCAGGAAAGCTGAGCCAGCTACAGACCTGCTGTACTTAACCATGTCATGTCTGTAGTGATGACAGTGCAGTGAGCAACTGTTTCACTTCTTCCTCGGTCTATTCAGCCCACCAAGTGGAAGAAACTTCCACTGTTCAACTAGCAAAGCTATGAAACATGAACTCAAACCAAGTAACAGATCAATCTAGGGAGTGTATCACTAACTGTGTAATGAGCAAGCCTTCACCTGGTCATCTGGGCCAAAGCTTGATTATGGTTCAAGTCAGAAAACAGGGGCCAACCAAACTCAAGGCAGAACACTGCTTAGTGTCATTGCCACAGGTGCTGGAGAAGTGATGCTCAGAACAGGGCTGGATTAAAACATGAGCACAAAAAAAGTCAAGTCTAAGAATCAGAATGTTGGCTAAAGAGGTGTTTAACAACAACTCTACTGTCAGGATTAGAACTGAAAGGTTACAGGAAGCATGGGAATGTTTCAGTACAACAGCTTGTTCAGCAGCACTAGACCATTCCAGTGTTACTGGCTGTAATGTCAGTTAGACACTATTTGTTGGGGAGGGTTGAAAAGGAAGAAACATTTGTGCCCGACATCCATCTTCACCCAAAAACAACCAAGCCTGTTGCCGTCAAATACAGTTGGAGAGTTTGGGTTCCTGGCAGCATCTACATACAGTAGAGATTCATAGAGGTGGTAGTGAAAGGGAATCTGGGCCCAGTACAGGATCTGGCAGCAGCTGCCTTAGTGAGGTGGGCCTGAAGCAGACTCATGGTAGCGGCGAGTCTGGGCTGGTGCAGTATCCTGTGGTATCTGCACTGGTGTGGCCCAGTGAAGGCAACAATTGTGGCTGCAGTGGCAGCATATCAAAGAGGACTTGTGCCTGGTTACCAGGTCTGCTGAACAAGTGCGGAACGATTGCAAGGTTAGTGCCTTTTTCTGCCTTAATGTTCTACATTTGGTTTTCCATCTTCACATGATGCAAGAGTGTCATCACAACTAAAATTCAAATCAGAAGTAAAATACCAGTTATACAAGCCGACTTTGACTGTTCAGTGGAGATCACAGTCAACAGTCCTTTACTACAGAGGCCATTCAGCCCAGATGCACTTGGAACAATATAACAGTCTGTCTCACTGCCCAGCTCCAATCTATGCTTCAAGTTCGTTTCCTTGAAGGACCATTCGTTCAAAAGATGGACCATTCTTTCAAATCATCCCTTGGTCATTAATACTACAAGTGGTGCAAAAACAACATTATTTCTCCAGCTTGTTCAAGAAAGTCTGTCCCCAGTCCTGGTCTAACAGAAGACAAGATCTCTCAATGTTGTACATTGAAACAAGTCTCAATCCTTTTGATTAGATAATCACAGCATCTCCCATTTAATATTGCAACAAAAACACCACAACAGGGGCTCATCTCAAAGTCACCAGCCTCAAGGGCCTGCACATCCAGCATTAACTGGAAAGATGGCAACATGGTGCCATATAGCTGTGCCTACTTCAGACCTATGCCAGTGATTTTATATTGGCTGTCCCCATTCCTTTTCTGAAGGGGATCTCACTTCCATATCAACATCTTTTGCACCTTCCCCACCATCATGCTGCTGGCCTGAGAGTTGAATCACACTAATATGGAACACTTACTACTGGACAGTCAGATACTATTACCTTCTATGGCCCACAGTATGTTTTTGTTTCATTTATGCAGTGGTTACTCACAATAATTCAAGGCTGCAGAGTTTTGACCAACATGCGTAAGGAACAAAACAAAGGTAGAAACATATCCAATTTGCTTCCCCAACAAGATTTTGTTGCATCCAATATCTAAATTGAGGTAACTCTTCAGGGGTTTTATTTGACTATTAGCCAGTGATTGGTTTCCTTGTCATCAACTTCTACAAAGCACCTATATTTGATTTGCTCTCAAAAGTGGAGAGATATAAACTGGCCCATAGCCAGGACTTGCCTCTGACCCCCTCTAATGTGGGGAGGGTTCAGTATGACAGGGTTTGCTGTAATCCATCTCCACCGCCTTTGGTGCAGGGACACAAGCTACACAGACCATGTGATTTATCTACCTCAAACACCAATCTTGTGTCCTGAAGTTCAATCTATTGGGCTCTACAGAAGAATCAAATAATATCCACGTGAAGAACTCAGGGCAGTATCCCAAGCAGCATGATTTCAACTGTGAAGTTTCTAACTTCATGCAATTGAGGTAAAATACCCTACTAAACAGTTAAATAAAACAATAACCACTTGAACATTACAGGGTATTGGGAAATTTCATGAAATTATACCACATCAACCTCCCTGACCAAGCTTCAGTTAAGCACCTCATTCCAGTGTAATAGGAACAATCCAATTTGACCAAAATAACGTTAGCCATCATCAAACCAACCACGTCACTCGGGACCATCCCCTACTCTAGGAGGGAGACAGTGTCACATTGCTGGGTTATTTTCTCAGGCACAGGTTAGTTTGTCTCCCTCCCACTGACTCCCCACAAACAGTCCTTCACCATTGCACGAGGAAACAGGAACAAAGTCCCAGCTGATTGCTTCAGTGTCAGGCTCATTTGCTCGCTGTGGGATCCGGGAGGGGGCTGCTTACCCGGGCTCTCTCTCAGGTTGTAGAAACAGGGCTGCCCACTGAGGCTCGGTGACTCAGAGCAGCAGCCCTGCTTGATACAGTCAGTGCTGCTGATAGCGGGCGGGCCGCACGGCAGCCTCCAGGTCACACACAGCAGAGGCCAGGAGGGGCAGAGCAGCCCCAAGGCACAGCCAACAAACCAACCAATGTCCCATCGCGCTCCCTGAATCTGCGCAGGGCCCTGAGCACCAGCCCGCTGAGCGCCAGCCCGCTTTATAGCCAGCAGTGAGCTCCCGGCCCACGGCTTTCTCGTGTTTAAGAAGCTTTAGCTGTCACTGATCCTAATTAAGGATTGGTGCGAGATTCCTGCTTCAATTACATCTTGACAAGTGACCCTGGGTTCCACTGAGCGCAAGACTTTTCTTTGTTCCAGAATCGGTTCTGCTTGGATATGGAAGTAGGAAAGAGAGTCAGAGAATTATGCCGGTGCAGAGGAGGCCATTCGGCCCATCAGCGGTTCTGTTCCCTGTGCTGCCTTTTCCCTCTCTCCCCGCACAGTATTATCCAAATAACCTCCCACAATGTCCCTCCTGAATGCCCCAATTGAACCTGCCTCCACCACATTTCCAGGCAGTGCATTCCCTACCCTAACTACCCGCTGTGTGTAAAAACCTTTTCTCACTTCACCCTTCGACATCATTTTAAATCAATGCAGTCTTGTTCTTTCTGTTACCAGCGGGAACATGTGTGTGGAGAGAAACACAGTTTGGAATCTGACCTGATTTCTGCCGAACTGACAGTTGTTGGAAAACTGTTTTTATGTATTTGACAGGGAGGGAGTGATGGGGAGAGGAGCGAGGGGAACAAATAGTGTGGAGGTTCGCTGTGAGACACGAGCAGTTGCTAATTGTGATGAAGGAGAAATAGAGATGTAACACGGGTCTGAATTAAAGCAGGATCCAGAGAAAATGGGTCTTCTCTGCTGAAAACAAAGTAAACAAGATACAGCCGTGTGGGGAGAGGGGAGGTTGGTGAGAATGCAAGAAAAAATGACGGACAGTTGTTTAATATTGTGGAATTCAATGTTAAGTTCTAGAAGCTGTAAAGTATCTAAATGGAAAATGAGGTGTTGCTCCTTGAGCGTTACAATATTGCAGCGGGCCTAGGACAAAGGTGTTAGCATGAGAGCAAGGTGTTTTTTTTTAAATTCATTCACAGTCTGAGGCCATCACTGTCTGGGACAGCATTTATTGCCCATCCCTAATTGCCCAGAGGGCAGTTAAGAGTCAAGCACATTGCTGTCGGTCTGGAGTCACATGTAGGTCAGACCAGGTAAGGATGGCAGTTTCCTTCCCCTAAAGGACATTAGTGAACTAGATGGGTTTTTCTGGCAATTGACAATGGATTCAAGGACTTAGACACTTCATTAGAGTCTTAATTCCAGATTGTTATTGAATTCAAATTCCACCATCTGCCGTGGTGGGATTTGAACCCAGGTCCCTAGAACATTACCTGGGGCTCCGGATTAATAGCCCAGCGATAATACCACAGAGCTGTTGCCTCCCCACACTATTGGATGATGAGCAATATGGCGTCACCACCCCCCCCATTTCTTGGTGTGGTCCTACCACTGGTTTTGATGAGCAGAGGATAGGTCCCAGTGGGAGAGCTGTAGCTGCAGAACTGTACAATCTCATAATCTGTAACCTGGTGGCCCTCACGCCCCGATCACCAACAACCCGGGATATTAACCCTGCTACAATGTAAGTGCAGATAAGGGGCCAGTAGTAGCACGGCATAGGATTACATGGAGATCTAAGGTGGCCAACTGTGATCAAATGGATTCCCAGAGGTTTCATGACATGACTTGCTCCCACTCTTCAGCCATTTGTTTGCCGGTAGATCCATCCTTGTGATTCGCTGTATTCATCCACCAACTGGAAAGCAAAATCACTTATTATGTAATTCCCAGTGACGAAGTTCTATTAATTTTAAAATAGTTATGGAGAGGGACAAAACTGGTCCACAGTTTCAAGTTCTAAATTGGGGCAAGGTGAATTTTGATGGAATCAGACAGGAGCTTGCAGGAGTTGATTGGAGTAGTTTGTTTGTAGGCAAAGGGACCTCCGGCAAGTGGGAGGCCTTTAAAGTGTGATCGCGAGAATTCAAGTTCTCTGTGTTCCTGTGAGGGTAAAGGGCAAGGTTAGCAGGAGTAGGGAAGCCTGGAGGACAAGATATATTGAGGCTTGACCAAATACAAGGAGGAATGGCTCAGGTACAGCAGCTGGGATCAAGGGAATTCCTGGAAGTATATAGGGGTTACAGGAGTTTACTGAAGGAGGAAATCAGGAGGTCAAAAAGGGGACACAAGATAGCTTTGGCTAAGAAGATTAGGGTGAATCCAAAGAGATTCTTTAAGTATTTTGAAGGGAAAAGAATAACTAGAGAGAGAAAATCGGACACCGCAAGGACTAACGTGGAAATGTATGTGTGGAATGCCAGGAGATGCACCAGGTCCTCAATGAATCCACAGGTGGCACAATGGCTGGCACTGTTGCCTCACAGCACAAGGGCTCTGGGTCCAAATCCACTCTTGGGCGAGTTTGCACATTCTCTCGGTTGCTGCATGGGTTTCCTCCAGGTGCTCTGGATTCCACTTAGATGTGCAGGTCAGGTGAAATGCCATGCTAAATTTTCGATAGTGTGTAGGTTAGGTGCATTAGCCATGGGAAAATGCACAGTTACCAGGATAGAATATGGAGGTGAGTCTGGGTGGGATATGCTTTGGAGGGTGAGTGTGGACTTGTTGGGCTGAATGGCCTGTTTCCACATTGTAGGGATTCTGTAAACTGTGTTTACAGTGGAGAAAGACTTGGGGAAGTTAGTGGCGATATATTGGGGACAGTCCATATCACAGTACAGGAGGTGTTTGGAGGTATTAGAATATATAAAGCTGGATAAATCTCCTGGTCCCGACCAGATATAATCCATGAGCCCTGCAAGAGGCTAGAGAAGAAATCGCAGGGGCCCTAGCTGATAATTTTGCACCAGCGTTAGCGACGGGTGAGGTCCCGGCCGACTGGAGGGAAGCGAATGTTATGCCCTTATACAAGAAGGGCTGCAAACAAAAACCAGTGAATTATAGACCAGTAAGTCTAACATCTGTGGAGGTAAGTTACTGGAGAAGAGTCTGAGGGATGAGGCAGGATCTGATTAGGATTAGTTCTCATGGCTTCGTGCTTGGCAAATCCTGCCTCACAAATTTGGTAGAGTTCTTTGAAGAAGTGACTGGGAAGGTTTTCGAGAGCAGGGCGGTAGACGCAGTCTATATGGATTTCAGTAAGGCCTTTGATAAGGTTCCACGTGGTAGGCTGCTCTTGAAGGTTAGATTTCATGGAATCCAGGGAGAGCCGGCAAATTGGATACACAATTGGCTTGACAGTAGGAAGCAGAGGATAATAGTGGAAGGATGCTTGTCTGACTGGAGGTCTGTGTCTAGTGGTGTTCGTCAGGGGTCAGTGCTGGGCCCGTTGCTGTTTGTTATCTATAGCAATGATTTGGATGAGAATGTACAAGGCATGATTAGTAAGTTTGCGGATGACACTAAAATAGGCGGTATTGTGGATAGTGAGGAAGGTTATCAGAAATTTCAGCAGGATCTTGATCAGCTAGGGACGTGGGCCGATAAATGGCAAACGGAGTTTAATATAGATCAGTGCAAGGTGTTGCATTCTGGAAAGTCAAATCAAGGCAGGAGTTTCATGGCGAATGGTAGGGCCTGAAGGAGTGTAGTGGAACACAGGGACCTTGGAGTTCAGGTGCACAGTTTGCTGAAAGTGGAGTCACAGGTAGACAGGGCGAGGAAGAAGCCTTTTGGCACACTGGCCTTCATCAGTTAGTGCATTGAGTATAGAAGTTGGGAAATTATGTTGCAGTTGTACAGGACAATGGTGAGGCTGCACTTGGAGTATTGTGTTCAGTTTTGGTCACCTTGCTGTAGGAAGGATATTTTTAAACCAGAAAGAGTGCAGAATAAATTTACAAGGATATTGCCAGGACTCAAGGGACTGAGTACAGGGAGAGTTTGGACATGCTAGGACCTTTTTCTTTAGGGTGTAGGGGGAAAATCTTATAGAAGCATATAAGATCATGAGAAGCAGGGATAGGGTGAATGCACTCAGACTTTTACCCAGGGTTGGGGAAAGAAAAAATCAAGGACTAGAGGGCATCAGTTTAAGCTAAGAGAGGAAAGAAAGAATAAATACATGGGAACCTGAGGGGCAACTTTTGTTTTTATATAAAAAAAACAGCAGGTGGTACACACATGAAATGAGCTGCCAGCAGAAGTGGGTGAGGCAGATACATTTACCAACATTTAAAAGGCACTTGGACGAATATGTAAGTAGGAAAGGATTACAAGAATATGGGTCAAGTGCAGGGAAATGAGATTAGCGTGGATGGACATTTCGGTCAGGACAGACCAGTTTGGGCCAAAGGACTGTCAACTAATCAGCCTTTATTCCCATTGAGAATATTTCTATATCTAGTCAAGAGACACATTCAAGAAAATTGGCAACAAAGAACAACACCATCCCTTTGACTGTCGATGTCATGTTTTCCCAGGATCACACACGGCAGTGAGTGATCTAGAGATTGATTCTCAGTGCCTGGAGAATCCAGGCCAATCCAAGACCGTTGGCTACCCCTATATTTGCCTGATAGCTTCGCTAAATAGATGGTAAGTTCTAAATATCAAAAGCAGCGAGGTATTCACACATGGTTCAGCAGAGCAAAGACCTTTCATGTGCATTCAGGACCGTTCGTCGATAAGCAAATGGTGCAGATGTCTGTCAAAACATTGCCATCCTTTGGTACTAGAGCCCAGCACATGAATAGACATCCCATAGTCATTGTACACAGAGGGTGGGAGAATGTTGGAAAGTGGGAACTGGTTCACTTTGGCGGGGAGAATAAACAAATGAGCAGTGTATTATGTAAGTGGAAATAAATTACAGAACTGAGATTCAAAGGGAGCCGTGTGTCCTGGTACATTCATCACGAAATGTTATCATGCAAGTTAGTGTGAGGTAATGCACCGAGAGGTCAAACAGTGAAGGGGAAGATGAAGAGAGAGAGATATTTGCTTCCAAGTCCATGTCCCTAAAAAGGTAGCAGTACTCGTAGATAGGGTTGTAAAGTATTCCATATGCCATCCTTACTTCATTGGCCATGGACCACGTGCAGGAAGATG